CTGCAACAAGGATTTTTCTTTTGAAAGGCAACCAGTAAAGACAGCCAGCCTGTCAATTTGTACCGTCTATACCGGGGTGGGCTGCTTTCCCACCCCTTTGCAGCACACCGCGAGCTAGGCAGGCAGCACCAATCCCCCTGCCCTCACCTGCCGAGGGGCTGGGCTCAGCCACATCACAAAGAGCAGGCAGAGGGAAGCCAGTCAGGGGGAGGAAGCCCCTTCATGTGCACACCTAACCCACCCCACACACACCCATACTGCAACCACACACTCCTCACCTACACCCCCCCACACATCCCACCCCCACCACTGTCCCATACACCCCACACCCCAACCACACACCCACACCCCCTCATATACTCCACCCCTACCATACCCACACACATACCCAACACTGTCCCATACACCCCAAACCCTACACACATGCATGCACACACACATACACCCACACTCCCCACTGCCACCATATTCACACCCTACCCACACACCCCACCCCACAACTACACCCACACCCCCATACCGAAACACACACTCAACCCTGTCCCCCATACCACACTGTCCCACACCCCGCTCCACACACCCACCATAACCCCGCAACACATACACCCTACCATATCGATACACCAAATATTCCCAGACACCCCACACCTTAACCACACACATCCCATACCTCCCCAAACATATACCCCTCACACGCATCATATCCCCCCCAACCACATATGCCCCCCACGTATACCTCCTGCTCCCACCACACAATACAGAACCCTCCCCCACTCCCCAAGAAGTACTTCCTGGACAATGGGAAAGACTTCTGGTGGCAAAGGTAAGGGGTTGGTGGGGGTGGGACTTCTGGTCCCAAGATAGCCACCAGAGGGCAGGGCACCTGCCAAGGGGTGGGGCTACCCTTGCAGCCCTCAATGCCTCACCAAAACTCATTAAGCAGCCCTCCAACCAAAATAATTGTTCACCCCTGGTCTACACTGAGAAAAATGTAAAACTACACAAAGAGCGTCATTTCAGAAAAACTGCTGCCTTTCCTTTCAGAAAAATTAAAATGCAGCCAAGCTCTATAAAGCTTGTTTACATACATTTATTCCTCTCCATGTAAGGCTCCTTCTGTATCATATAGCAAACTATAAGAGAATTCCAATGACCCACTGGAAAGGTCCCCCTAACACCTTTCCAGATTTCAGGTAACTTTGTAATCTCTAATGATGAATTTTGTCATTAATATATTTCATTTCAAATCTGCATTGCAGCAAAGTGGTCCATCAGGATTGGGACCTCAATGCTAGGCACTGCACAAACAGAGAAAGACACAGTCCCTGCCCTGAAGCAAGAAAGAGAGAGTAATAGGCAGGTGACGCAGAAGGAAAATGCTGAGAGGAAGTGTGGTTATTTCTATATTCCAAAAGTTATACCGCTAGCCACCAGCTCTCTCATTTTCCAGACTGCTCGACTAATGCTGTGAACACAGCTGACCCCATATGACCTCCTCCCACCCCACCCCTGACCAGTGGAAAAGACTCAGCTTAGCATGCAAGAAAACAGCCCATCAGACAGTAGGGAACATTTATTCCCTCCCACAGTAGTGGGGACTCCCACTAATTTTAACCCTGTATGTCCTGGGATGAGCAATTATTTTCTAGTTACAAGACTGGAGTCAGACGCAGGAGCTGTGGGTGCAGTTACCTGCTCAGGCACACAGTTCCTGTGCATCTTCACTTAACCTTTCTGTGCATCAGGTCACTAAGACTTCCCCTCGAGTCCTGTTTATACGGACTGCCTGGTCTTCAAGGAGGGGAAGGTCTGCACCCCATACACTTCATACAATGGGATGCTAAGTTCAACTGAGACCTTTGGTACTGCCCTACTACCAATAATAATACTAGGTTCACCTCTTTAGAGTTAGCCCACAGCTTCAAGGGGGAACCAGAGTAGATAATGGTAACATTTGCATTTGTGCTCTCCAGATTTTCAGAAATGTTTTGACCTAACTGATTCATGAGGGTGCAGCACAGGTCAGTGATGTCCACTAGGCCTTGGAGAACACCATCTGTCCTAAAGTAAGAGTCCTGCTATTTCTTTGTAAACCCCTGCCTTGTTGGTTGGTCAACGTTCCAAGCAAATCCCAACATGGAATGTAAAACGGCGCCCAGTCCTGATAGCTACAGGCTGCAGTATAAGTGAAATGAGAAACTTGCATCAGCAGTGGCAAGGGGTTGACTGCAGTCCCTTTCCTATGATCTCTCTGCCTTCAGTTCTGCTGTACTTTCACTTAAACCTGCCAAATACCCTCCCAGGTAAACAGCATCAAGTCAGTGGGTGTTCTTTCTCTGAACAGTTAAGGCACTGCAATGTTAAAACCACAATGCTATACCAGCAAACAGGTACATGTTAGCACAAAATGCATGGGTCATGATTTAAGCTCTGTCATTGTTCTGTGGAAAAGCCTGGCTTCCTACTCTTGGCAAAGGAAAAGCTTTCAAATCAAGATAATGTTTAATTCTATAAAAAGAAAAAAAAAAAAACCAAACAAACATTAAAAAAAATTCTTCTGCACAGCAAATGTCCGCTAAGGTTAAATTACTCAGAGTTTCCCCAAATGAGACGCTTGGTCAGAAGCACTGGAAAGTTTAAAAATCTCTCCTTTAAAAGCAACTCCCACAGGGAAAAGCCGTCTCCATGTCACTGGAAGATGTACAAGTGAAGCAGGTCATGTTCCCTATAGTTTTTCTTTGTTGTTTACTGATGTTCAGGGTAGAACTGCATCTTGACCCTCTGCCATAGGGTGGGGGATGACTGAGCTGTGCCAAGAACATACCGCAGAACGAACTGGGAATCTGACCCTAATCCTCCCTTTGCTCCAGCAGGCAGTCATCTGCTGCCTCTGCTAAGAAAAACGACTCTACCCTTTCTTGCCCATCTGCCCATTCCTTGCCTAACTGCTCAGAAAGGGATGGGCTGTAGAGAGGCAAACCTTCCTCTACACTGTTATCTGCAGTGCCCCTTGTCCCTAGCACAGCTGAATAAGCAACACGACAATCTTGCCTTTGCTGAATTTGAAATCAAACACTGGAACACTGGTAAAAAGATGATGGTCTACAGCCAAGGGCAAAACAGGACTACTGCCCACAACACAATCCTCCACTATTCCAAATGTAACCTACATCACTACCACAGAGGTGACAAGGAATACCCTAGTGGAACACAACCTGTGAAAGGCATTAACAACTGCCTCAGGTATCCAGGTTGTAGCCACATTGGTCTAGAGGCAAAAGGAATCAGAGCTTGTCGTAGAGGTGTTCTCCTTTATTAGACCGACTGGATTTTTGCAAAAAAAACAAACAAACAAACAAACAAACCAACCAACAACAACAACAATAATAGCAAGATTCCGGGAACATCTGGATCCTGCTATTAAGACTATCTAACCAAGATCTCCAAAAGTCAAACATTTCTCCCAACATTCCTGTCAGGTTGGTATTTTCAGGTCTATATGGATATATTCAGCTGACCTTCATTTTCACTTTCTTAACTTTTAGCCCCTTCCTCTTCACATGCCCATTTGCACTTCCCTAAACGATTCCTCTCCAAATATTTGTGGGTGAAATACGTCTATACCGGTACAACACACACAAGTACTGAGCAAACTATTTTCCACAAAGAGCACCATCCAAAAACTCCTACAACAAAACCAACTGGATGGGAGGGATTTCCTTATATTTTCACATGTACTTGTTACAGGCAGAATGGAAACTTGATAAGCAACAAAATAAGAGGTCAACCTGTCTGACTCCATTGAAACACTTCCAAAGAAATGTTCTTTGTTGGAAAGTCGTTTGGTTTGGTTCATAAAAGGGACTTGCATAGGTAACAACCATATCCACAATCGGAAAAGCATTTATTTTCAAGTTCAATCATAATCTGTACAGAATCTATCTAATCTATCAGTTCATCAACAGATACATTTTTGAAACTGGAGAATGATCTGCTTTTGGAGACGCTCTGGTCATTTGTGAACCACTTTTCTTTAATACTCACTACATCAATCAACCTCGTTTCCAGTAAAAATGACATGCGGCCTTTGAGATAGCAACTACACATATTTCCAAGTCATGCTTAAGAATAAAAACAGATGGCTACATAGACTGATGCTGCTTACAGTTAATAAGCAATTTCAAAAAACATCCTCTTTGCCCAGTTTACCAGGAATAAACAAAACCAGGTAGCTTGGTAGCGTGGCATAAGCCAAGATCAGGCTATAGTCTAGCTCAGTGATTCCCAACCAGGGTCAAAAATTCCCTGTGGTGATTTGAGATCCTTTCAAGGGTGCTGTGGGGTGCCACACAATGTGAAGTTTGCAAACATGACTCACATGAACCCAGAGATTTCAACTAGGAACCCACTGTGTTATAGCATTATGATCTGTTGTGGTCTTTCAGAGTTATCTGCAATGAAAGAACTGCTTTTTTTTTTTTTTTTTTTCTTTTTTGACTACAGAAAATAAAGTAGTGAAATCTAAAAGCTGGCATTTTCCAAGGGGAGCCTAGAAAAGGTTGAGAAACACTGGTCTAGACCAGTTTGGAGGTGTTCTCAAATTTGGAGGCTTAATGGATTCTATACGACAAACACTACTGTCCTACAGAATAATACGTTTATCTCATATATACTCTGTGAGAGATACCACCATTTGATAGCACCAAACTATCTGAAATTACTTAGTTTGAGCGGGGGCGGGGAAATAACCCTCCTTTAACCAGATAAATGGGTGCTGCAACACACAGGAAAAGAAGGAAAAACATTCAGAATTTTCTGCATTTGAGCATGCCTAGCAAGCAAGATGCATCTTAGTTTGGGGGCAAACTTGAGGGAAAACACCTTTCTGCGCCTCACCTTGGCATCTGAACTCTCTCACTCCTGCCACAGATCACTAGGCTTGAAAATATATAGCTTCTAGTTAAAACTGTAGCAAGGAAAACAGCAAACGGAGGACCTACCTTCCACTGCAAAGAATGAAACCACTGATCCCTCAGGTAACTGTTTGCAGCCTGCAATAAAAAGAAAGATTTTTAAAAATAGGAACCATTAGATTCTATTCAAGCTTGAGATCACTGAGCCAAAACACATGCAAACCCTCCACCCACCAACATTAATTAAAACTCAACAAATTGCACACGACTGTGTGACACAACCCAATGACCTTGACGCTCAGCTCCGGAATTGTTATCTTCACCCCTTGCCCTTCATTAAAGGGAAGAGAGTTTTCTGAGCCCTACAAAAGGCCATGAGTTTGCAGGGTAATTAATTTATTTTCACAGGAAGCAGAAACATTAAGACTTTGTTCGATCTCATTTCATTTCAACATATTAAACATTGAACTAAAACTACTAAAAAGTATTAACTTCAGATGAAATAGGACCAGATCCAAAACCCTTTAAGGCCAATGGAAACGTTCTCATCGACTTTTAGGAGCTTTTGATCAAGTCTATGATAATTATATGCCATTTGCCCTATGTATTAGATCACCCCTGTCAGAATGAGATGCTAACCTGACAGGTTGCAGATAACTTTTTATATGCACTAGCCTTCCCCTTTCCCAGTCCACAGCTGCCTGCTAGCTACTTGAGTCTGAGTGTCATGTTGGCTTTTCTAACAATAATATAATGCAGTAAAAAAATATTATAAGATACACACATATCCCCCAGAGGGTCTGCAGCATCTGCATAAATACTACCATAATCAATGATCCCCAGTTTTTGTCCATATTAAGCAGAGCTTCTCAAAATTCTCAGTTGAAGCTAGGTTCATAGCCAGTGGAGAAATAGTTCAATGCTCTCAAAGGTCACAGGCTTTGTACCAAAAATTATAAAAGCAGCTATGCTGACGTAAATCCATAAGGGCACAGAAAGAGCGCATGCCTTTGAGGGGCTATGCAAGTTGGGAACATGCTGAGTGTGTAGAGGGGTGGGGGGTTGGCTCTTCCAGCTCAGCTGCTGGGGTTTTTTCCTTACAATTAGAAACATCTTAAAATGAACAATGAAAATAATACTCAGTGCAAGTCCTGTGCCAATAAAAGGCAAGGCTCTTCTTTGGAAGAGCCACATGCCCTTTCAGAAGGCTTTTGTCCTGCAGCAGCAAGAATCCTGCAAACTGTATCCTGCGTGCCCAAGCAGAAGTCCAAGCATCCTTCAGTTCTATCTTCTCGCCCCCACCCTTTTGAATATATTTTAAAATTAAAAAAACAAAACAAAAAGAACCCCATGACAATTTAAAGAGTGGGTCAGGAAAAAAAAAAGTATAATGATTAAGTGAGGGAAAATGCAAGAAATTAGGCTGAACCATGGTAACTGTGTCATAAGTCTACCCTATCTCTCAGTAAATGGAAGCGACGCCACAATTTATCTCGTTTCACATAGGGGCAAATCACTGAGGTTTAGATGCATGTCCTCAGGGACAGGAGCAGGAAGACGGAATGGTTACCAGAGATGAGCTGACATGCTTGCAAGGGGCAAATCCCTCCTCGCTTAAAAGTAGCGTACTTGTCCATACAGTATACCTGTTCAGTTTTCAAATAGAAATCCATAGTATTAAAAACACCCTCCCCTGCTATGGTCTTTCCAACTTCTTTGCAACAGAAGAACTGCTCTACTATTTTTGTGTAGTCAAAAAACAAGTGAAAAGTAAGAGCTGGAATTTCCCGAGGGGTGCCTTGAGTTTTGGCAGAGGTGCCTCGAGTCTAAAAGGTTGCTTTAACCACTAAGCTAACACATCCTCCCTAAAAAGCCAAATACTTCACATTGGGAGGACAGACTTCACTCCTTGGCAAAGGATCATAGGGAGGCCAAGGACTGACCCCCACACCTCCCTGCTTCTTCAGCACCAAAAGTTCAATAAATGTTGATTTTCCAGTCACAGGAAACCTCTTATTTTCATTCTTAGATGCTGTTTTCCCTGACCCTCCATGGTTATCATGTCCCAATGATATCCTGAAATGCAACTGAGCCTCTGAATGAGTACTCAAGTTTGAGTTTCTTTATGCTTGAGGACGTGGTTTATAAGGCTACTGTAGTAGCTCATTCTATATACTGATCAGCTCTGATACTTCCCAAAGAAACTCGAGTTTAATCTGTAAATGTTGCATTACTAGCAAAACCCCCTTCCCAAGGCCATTACCTACATTGAAAGACAAATAAGATACAGAGGCTTCTAATATTATTAAGGAATAATGGAAAGGCGCAGAGCTTTCCTCCTGAAAAGTGGCGATGCCAACCTGTTTTAAATCCCAGGTTGGACCTACAGTATTATTTGAACCAAGAAACCGCCTCACCTAGAACGAGCAAATATTAAAGCAAGAAAGGAAAATAGTTTCTGGCTATTATCCATTCTCTTATTTCCAGGCATCCAGTCACTAGAGACCTCCAGAGCTTATAAATAACTAGGAAAAAAAAAAAACAATACGTGCAAGCAGATTTCATGACCAACCCGGCTTCTAGCTGGAACAGTGGTTAGGCACTTGGTAAAATCTTTGTTGACAGATTATTCAGACAGACTGAACACAACAAAGAAAACACTGAAACGATACCGGACCCCAAAAAAATCAGAGGCAAAAAACTAACGGCACAGACTACTAACTGGGAGCACAGAAAACCAGCAGAAAAAGAAAAATGTACTGTCAACCTTAGAGGGGAAATATTTACAGAGTTTTAGACCGTAAATCGAGCAGAGTGCACAGGCTGCAAACGTGGGATTTGGATTCCAAACTCTGCGGGGCATTTAGATGCAGCTTTAGTTCGGTCTCTTACGAGAAAAGGCCGTCACCTGAACTGGCATTTGGATCTGCATCTGACATAGGTGTTGAACAGCTCCTAAATTTGGGATGGGCTGCATTTGAGGCTTGTTTCAACAGCACTACTAAGAAAAGCCACCAGCATGACAACAACAGTTTCAACTGAAGCACAAAAGCAGAAAACAAACCTGTAGAAAGTCTGCCGTTCTACCACTGAGCAGGAATCAATGGGCTACAGACCTGAGAGACGCAATGGCGGGATTCCAGAAGTTCACTCTCCACAGCGCTCCAGCAGATAGATCAGGCGTCATTTGCTTAACCGCT